TAAACCATATTCTTCAAATATCCTCAATACAATTAATATTTATTCTTTATACAACAAAATTACAGGCGATGTCTTTTGACAATAATGGCCAACCCCTTATAACAAAACCCACTAAAATACAACAATCATGAAAGGTAATATACATGCAGCATCAAACTTTTAAACATTAAGCGCACACAACTTTCATATATTAAGTGCATTAAACATGCCTCAGGAATTTGCAATGCTGCTGGAACGCCCACTAGGGAGTGTGCCAGGCTACTAGTATATAATAAACCATTTACATAAACAGTTGTTAAATCATTAATTATAATTATATTATTATTATTTCTAAGGAACTGAAATGCAAAAAAGCTTTTGAAAAATATTTAATGTTGAAATTAGATTAAATTCTAAAGGTTGCATTTTAAATAAATCTGTGCAGAATATTTTAAAAAATTACCTTGGAGCGGCTAAATAATAAATATCTTGTTGTCCCTCCTTCATTCTACTACAGTATTCTGGCAAAGTAACCAATTCGTCTGCTGGTTTCAAAGAAGATTCAAACTGCATCAATTTTGCAATTTCTTCCTATAGTCAATATAGTAGCATTGCAATTAAAAATTTTATAATCTTATTAGTAATAGAAAATTTTCATATCTTTAAATGCCATTCCTAATACTTAAATACAGAAAAATCATAAGTTTATTCATTCATAATTTTTAAAATTTGGTCTTCTGCTTACTCTTCTTAGCAGACTATGTAGATTTACATAGTCTGCTATGTCCTGTTGAGTTTAATTGTCTTTCAACCTTCCTATTCTTTTTGGTTAAGAGATGGCTAAACATTCCTCAAAGTAGTTTCAATTCAATACTGATAACCTACTGAGTATTGCACTTAAATGTAATTTCCACCAATTATCATGTATTTTATACTGTTATACAATTATCATTTATATTTGCATAACACAATATAAATACAAATTTGCATATTCATTGCAGTAATCAATTGTTTAGCCATAAGTATAATAGCAAACACTAAAGTTTTTAGATTTACTCTGTAAATTTCTATTTATAATATAATTTTGTTGAGCAGTGTACTTTTTACATATATCAAGTAGAAATCCCATAAAATGCTGTCTCTAAAATAAACATTTCTAATATTTCAGGCAGAAAGCATACTACTTATACAGTGTGACCATAAAATATATCTGCAGTGGGGAAATAGGAGGACTTTATAATCACACTGTATATATATTTGAAATTTCTTATGAATATAATGAAAATCAAATATATTGTTAAGTCTATGTTAGAAGTGTTACTCAACCTTTTCTATTTGTTCCTGAGAAGAGACAATTCCTTCTTTGAGAAACATATTATAATTCGAATAGAACTGTCTGTAGCCTTCGGGATCTTTCCTCATTTGATCAACCAAATGTCTCAATAGACGATTTGTTATCACCGTTCTTATTTTTCTAGAAAAGAAATATATATATATATTATTACATAGAAATTATATACCTTGCATTCATTATTTTAATAGATTGCATGTACATAACAACAAGAGCCAAATTTTAATACTAAATATCCAAGCACTGGATTCTTTGGGCTATAATTTGGCTAAACTTTAATTATCAAAACAAATAATTTGATGTAGAGGTAGGAGTAAGTCTTCATACTTGCTTCTGTAATTACATATGCTGTATCAGTATTAGTATTAGTATTTGGTCTTCTGCCAAATATAATTCAGCTAATTAATATTAGCTGAATTATATATACCCAAAGAATATGGCATTTAATATTTACTATTGGAAAACAAAAATTAAAAGACATTCTAATAAGATCAATTGAGTACAATAACAACATTATACAGTCAAACTTGTCTATAATGAAATCCCAAGGGACTGAACAACCCTTCCATAGTAGACGGGTTTCTGCTATATACAGGTTACCTACTATAGGTATCCCTTGATTAATGTGATTAACAAATTTCTCGACGTTACCACATATATCAAAATCGTGTTAATCAAATACAGTGGTACCTCGATACTCGACCGAACAATCACCTCCTGTTAGTTATTAACCAAAAATTTGTTCTAATATTTTTATTTTAACATTTTTATGAATGAATGAAAAAATTAAAGTTCTCTAAGATAAAAATGAGTAACCAATTTAAAAATAAAATAGGCAGCTGTAGATTTTTTATCTTCATTAGACAAAATTATATTCAATTCAGTTCGTTTTTTTCATAAGTGGAAAAAACATACTGCATGCAGAAGAGAACACTGCATGCAAAACACACAAATGCAGAACACACAGAACAAACATCAGAACACAATGATTGTGTTCTGCATGCATACTTTCCAGCAGACAGGTGTATGCATTATAAATGTTTTCAGCTCTTTTGATAAGCTTGTTTCAACTTCCACGAAGTTTCATATCTTCAGAGGAAATTATATTTTGGAAGGCTTTGAAAATTCTTGTATGCGACTCCTTAATTTTGTGGTGTTAAAGAATACACTTTAAGTATATTCTTTAAAACTAACATCTTAGGTTTTTGGTTGTAATTCTCAGCATGTGCTATGTTCTCATTTAAAAACATCACTATGTATAAGAATTTTCAAAGCATTCCAAAATAGAATTTCTTACAAAGATTGAAAACTTCAAAGAAGTTTAAACAAGAGAACAACTTGAAGCAGACTTCTCAAAAATGCTGAAAACGTTTGTAATGCATACAATGGTCTGCTGGAAAAATATAATGATAAACATGCCTTAAGTTATATTCTTTCCACTTTGGATAACTCAATTTTAACTTTATATTACTTTTAAACTTATATGTATTGTTCTCCAAGCCTATTTTATGTATAGATCTAAAGATGAGATGTGAACCATTTGAATGAATTAATAAAGCAACTCGTTAGTCTTGTGGTGTTATACATGGAGTTGTTTTGTACTAAAGAATGTGTCAATTTTATCATCTTTATTTTTAAGTAAGTACGTTTGGTTCTAAATTTAAACAAATATTCTCAAGCTTAACAAGCTGTAGACAAAGACAACACAATAACATTATATTATTATTTACTACAGATCAGTTAAAATGATCATAATCAATTTGCAGATCTTCAATTAAATTATTTGATCATTTTTTTAAAATGGTAGACCAAAATAAAATGCCTGCTATTTAAAAATATTCTAGCACAGGCCAAATTCTTCTTTTAATACTGCATTTACTCGCATATAGGACGTATGACTTTAGATTTATTAATACAATTTAATTTTTTAATTTTACTTTGTTTAATCACAAATAAAATATTAAATGCACATAAATGCACACAATGTCCCGCAAAAATTACTAGCATTTTAAACTTCAAGGAAAAATCTTGTAAAATTGACAACATAATTTGTTCATATAAAACTGGACAATTGGGAACCTTTTTTGCCAATTCTTAACAGTCAAATTCACTCTTCGTCAATTAAACTTATAAGTTTCTTCAAATTCCGATTTCCAAATAATCATCTGTTTTCACATGGGAATGAATTAAAACTTATATCGGGCTCCCATGTAAGTTTGGAATTCAATTCAAAAGCCTTGCTTATCCTATTGCTATTCATCTTTACGCCTGACAATACATAAGAACGATTCAAATGTCCCAGATAAAACACTTTTGTTTTTAATCACCAAAAGATGAGAAGCCAGTAAAAAATGCAAATACAGTTTAGAAAAATTATTGCAAAATGAAAAAAATCCTTCACTTGCATGTATAGGACAACCAAAGTTTTTGAAGCAGTGAAAAATGAATAAAAGCCTTGTCTTATATGCATATAAATACAGTATTTAGTTTATAAAATTAAAAATTATTTCCAATTTGTAAACTATCAAACCTGATAAGAGCACTATCCTGTAACAATTCCCTGCTAAGATTTAATGGAATGTCTTCACTGTCAACTACACCTATAAAAATAAAGTATAAAGTGTAAATCTATGAATCCAGCCTGTTAATTGAAAGAAAAATATGTTAAAAAGTAACCTCAGTTAAGTTTTGGAAAAGATGATTTGTAATTTATACTTTTGCTTCTATTCTGTTTCTTTAATCTCAATATATACCAATCAAAACATCTTAATTTTCTAGGAATTATCACATCCATAAATGCCATAATTATTAGCCAATCAACAACTTTATTTTACCCAGATGCATGTTTAAAACTAAAATTTTCCTCCTCCTCGGTGGGTTTTCTTCAATTGGGTTTTTGGCTGATAGAGGACAAAGGAATGTCTGGTTGTTGGAGTGTTGGCAAATGATGTGAAAGAATGAATGAAAGCAATAATAGCAAGTAACTGTGTATAACAAAGTATTGCTAGCAAAAGAATAAAGGTAAAAATAATTTTAATATGAAAGTAGTTAAATGGTCAGAATATCAAAAAATTATTTGTACCCTGTTTAGTTTTTATGGAAAGAAAGCCCACTGAAGAAGGTATTATAATAATTGAAATGTATCTGGATAAGATAAAGTTGTTGACTGGCTAATAATTATGGTGTCTGTAATATAATAATTTCTAGAAAATTTAGGTGTTTTGACCAGTTATATATTGAGTTTATATGAAGGTCAAAAATTAACTTAACTAATGATGGCCATATAATTTAAAGCAAAAACAGTTTTTTGGCAATAAAATTAACATCATTTGCCTTAATTAAGCAGTATTGTACAATATTATTGCAGACAATGCTGGGTTTTGTACACTTTGGTAGTAAATAATTTTCTCATATACTACAGAACTAAAACTTTTTAATTTATATTAATATAATATTAAAAATCAAATTAATTCAATGATGTAACTAACTACTATTTTATTTTGTTAATAATCAGAGTAATAATCAAAATAAGTAATGAATAATAAAATATACATTATTTATTTTGATTGTCATACCATACAAATAAACAATTATTAACAGTTCTACAGTGAATGTTCGAAGCCAGGGATGGCAAACCTTTTTAAATCAAGTGTGCTTATTATATGGCATGCTATCTTTTAAAATGTTTGTGCCTGCTGAAGTTTTAGACTTCAAATAACAATATTTAAAATAACATACTTTAATTAGAATAAATGTAATGAAGCTGATTGAAAGAAAGAATGATCAGATGATAAACCAAAAGAATGTTTAAAAAAGACGAGTGATAACCAATATCTTATGATACATTATGTGCCAGATGATTTCTCCCAATTCACGTTACAAAGGATCAAGAACAGGGTGGCAAATATAGGTTTGCCACCCTGTTCTTGATCCTTTGGCCATCTTTTGCTTATAAATGAATTAAACATTTAAAATAATATATTAGATTCTTTGTTTATTCATTCTGATAATAATAGGTACAATTTCCTATCTGCTGGGACAAAGTTCTGTTTGTCAAATCTCCTATACTTCATTTAGCAGTTTCTAATAAATGATGGCTTTTCTGCTATTGCAAAGTCATATGATTTTTGTACAGAATTGCAGAGATTGTGATCAATTATCTAAGTAAAGGATAATTAATGATTGTCTATTTAATATAATCAGTTTAGGAAACTTTTACATTATATGAAAAGAAATTATTAGAAATTTTCTTTTTTTTATTGTGAAGATTGGAGATTTTTTTTTTATACTTTATTTTCTGTGCAACTTGTATTGATGTGATCATAATAATACACTATTGCAAATTCAGCTGTAAAAGTCATTACAGTTCATGAGTACCTGTAACCAGCAATTGAATTATTTACTGATTCAAATAAATGTTTATTTCCTGCCTGTCTTTAAGTTGGATTTATGACAGTTCATTATATGATAAAATCTTCACAAGTTGTATATATATATTGTAACATCTGAAGAATAAAAAGACTTTATTTTCTCCTGTAAATTATTTTGTAACTCCTCCAATGGATTCAAAATAAAATTTATTTTCAAATAGGTTAATCAATAAAACTCAAATTAAATTTAAATATTGTTATAGAACTGAATATATCAGATAATATATTTTACTGAAAAAAATCAAATTCAGCATTACCTTTTACAAATTTCAACCATTTGGGAAGAATCATTTCTGCTTTATTTTTAATTAAGATTCTTCGGCTATAAAGTGCCACTCCGACGTCACTGTCGCGTTGCAATTCAAATAATCCTGGTTTTCCTTCGGGAACGTACAGCAAACAACGAATATTGATGGGAGCATCAGTTTTATAATGAAGCCAATACCGAGGGACGTCGTATGAATTAGAAACAAAGCGATAAAATTCTTCATGCATCGTCGTAGTTACTTCTTTTGGATCCATGAGCCATAATGACTAATAAATAGATTATTTATAATTTCTCTGAAGAGATGTTCTGTTAATTTTATTTAATATCTTTATTATGTAAGAAAGTAAAGTGAGGAAATTATTTCTTTAAAAAATTTTATGGTGAAAATATTTTAATTTATTTACTTGATTACAGAGCAAATGGAG